CACTGACAGGGATGGAGAAAGTGGCTTTGTCTGTCTTGCTCCCCATGCCCCGCCCCTACTCTTCATCCTGGACTCTCAGGGCACCCATGGTTTTGCCTGTGAGCCCTCATGGATTTTGGGTGCCCCTCCCTCCCAAGAAAGCTCAGCCAGATCCAGCCCCTGCCAACCTGTGCTTGCTTTTTCCTTTTCTACTGCTGATCAAACTTGAGCAGAGTTGAGCACAAACTTTTCTCCTGAGAAGACTCGGGGTTTGTTCTTAACAGTCCTGGGCTGCTGGAAAGGAAGCGTGCCAACCCCTTCACCTTCTTCAGGAGTTGCGCAGAGAACTGGTGTGGAAGCTTGCAACCCTGGGTGCCCTACAGCGGGTCATCGGCCCCCACCCCACCCCTATGGGCCACTCTTTCTTTTCCTTGGGCAGAGTCTCAGTCAGCTCCTGTTCTGGGGCAAACGAAGAACTGTCCCCGGGCCTTCTAGGCTGGGTGGTACCCACAGGCAAGGACGGGACAGACCCGGGGCCCCGCTGAGAATGCAGGTGGAGAGAACAGCTCTGGAGGCTGCAGGAGCATCTAGCTAAGAGAACTAGGCTGTGTGCTGGTGGAGTCCTGCAGATGTGTGAAGCTTCTGATGTGAGAGAAAAGAGCCCTGCAGAGCTCTCCCATCTCGCCTCTCTACTGTTAATTCCGAGTGCTGGCCTCTCCAAAAGGGAGAGACTGAAGCTGAGCTGAAGCGTGGTCCAACTCGCCCAGAATTGTGGGGTGGCTTCGCTTGACTTCTTGCCTCAGTTTTCATGGGAGACCTTTCCCAAGGACACAACTCTCCTTAGGGAACCGGTGACTTCAGTGAGCTCACTCTCCCCCCTCATTTCCTTGTCTCCCCATCTCCGCACCCCCAGGATAACAAGGTAGGGCTGCTGCGCTGGCCAGCCAGGCATCAATCAGGAAGTCACCACAAAGATATTCTAAACTGCCTGGTGCCAACTCAGTGGCCCCGTTTTTCTAGGGGCACCCCCTTCCTTGCTCCATGAAGGACCTTGGCATGGTCCTCCTGACACTCAAAGGACTTCCCCTCAGTAAGCCTGCTCTCTGCGGATTCCCTCCTGCATCCCACCTCATCCTGAACTGGGTCCCTCCACCCCAACAGCCACTTCCTCGGCTTCTTCCTGCGCCGCTGATTTTAAGAGGACTTAAGAACCATCTCTGATTTCTTGTTTGCAAGACTGAGTTGTGGGCATTCCCTTCATTAAACACAATGCTTTCATCTCTTCAGTAGAAGCAGGAGTTCAGGGGTCGGGGGAGGCAGAAATGACTCCCAGTATTTACTGCAAAGGGGAAGACAGTGGCTGTGGAGGGGACACATTCTGCAAGGAGAAAAAAAAAAAAAAAACCCTTGGAGCTTAGAATCACCCAAAGTGGCCCTGAGTTACAATGCTGGTCGGAATTCTTTACCAGATTAATTTGCGGGTTTCCCCCTCCCACTCCCCTTCACATTAGAAAGATCAAGAAGGTTTTTAATGTGTAAAAGATGTTTCTTCCCATGATGCCCCAACACCACCCACACACCCGTTTACACTGCTTTGAATCCAACGACTTCTGTTGTCACAGTGGAAGAGGTAACTATCCTTGAGCAAGGGTTGTTCAAAGACCGGGGAGAGGAGCTGGGGAGGGACAAGCAAGGGCGCCAGCCTGGTCCCGGACACCTCCTGCATCTTTTCCTGACCGACTCGGGGTCTGCGCCTCTCCACCAGGCCACTTTCACGTGAGTGTGAGGTTCCGACACTCCCCACCCACCCATCCACAAAGCACACTAAAGCCTTCCTCGGGACCGCACCAGGATTAAGCTTCCACTGCAGAAGGAGCAGTGGACAGACAGGGGTCATGGGCGACTCTTACAGTGTTTTCGCCTTCACTGTCTGTCTACGGAGCAGCTGAGCTCTGTAAGGTTGAGACTTGAAAAGCGCTGAAACTCTCACTGAACCTCGATTCTAACTTCCTCTCTTTCTGATCCTAAGGACCTGACACCCGCAACAAAATCAGCTTTTCTAGCCCTAAGCCTGATTCCAGAATCTCACGGAGGAGTCGAAGAAAAAAAAATAATTTGCCTGATTGGTGTGTTATTCCAGATAAGCCATTAATATGCAAATCAGGGAGCTGGGCTCCCCGACGGAAAGGAAGCAGCGCGTAGACACGCGGACAGCCCCAGATGTTTGCATAATCACTTCTGCCCCAACTTCGGGAGTGCAAAATGTCAGGGGAGGAGGCTGTGAGCGTAAACACGGTACTGTGCCCTGAGTCTGCGTTACTAGAGTGTGTGTGTATGGGGGGGGGGACGGGAGTAGGGGGGTGGGCTTGCCCAGAGAAGAGGCAAGGCATCAGCGTCTCTGGCTAGGGCCTCCTGGCAAGAGGGGTCGTCTGGGTCTTTCTCAGAGGACGGAATCACCCTGAGCGGTCGAGAAGGGTGGAGCCGAAAGTCAGCGAGTTGTGGCAGTCTCGGAGCTTGCGTCTGGGCGCGCTTGAAGCATCGGCCTCGACGCCTGCCAGTGTCACCTCCTTCGAGGACGTTTGGGACCGCCCCGCGGAAACCCTGTTCCCGGGTGCGGGCAGTGACACAGACTATAGCGGGTTGGATGAGGCGTTTGTGAGGCGCTCGGCGGGTATCGTTGCACCCCCCCCCCCCGGGGCCTCCTGTCTTGGGGCTGGCCACCAGCAGCGCACGCCCAGAGTTGTCCTCGGGAAGGCCCAGCCTTGGTACGGTCAGCTTGTGCTTTCCCCTCCGAATGGCAGTGTCCAGCACCTCGGTTTTTCTGACCTCTAAAGCAGAAAACTGGACTTGGGCTCTCGGCGCAAACCGCCTCTGGAGGCAATGACACCTGTCTGGAATTATCTGGAGGTCTCCGAAGTCTTGGGGCGGGTGGGAGGTGTGCGGGGGGAGTCACTTCAATTCCTTCCGCTTGGGGGCGGGATAGGAAGAGAGAAAACCTGAAGCGCGCGTCCATCTCTGGGCTTTTTCACGGGACTGCACAGAGCTTGGGTGGGCGCTGGGAGTGGGTCTGGGATTTGGCCTGCACTGCCCAGCGGAGTTGGCGACTGAAAGGGTCACTCTGGCCAAACTCCAGCTTGAGGAGACCCCGAGGACCAGGCGTCTGGGCTGAGCTCAAGCTCTGACGCCACCATCCCTTTCCAGGTTTCAAACAACGCGTTTTCTTTCTCCATGGGATGGTGGGTGTTCCCTACCTTCCTAATGGGCACGGTCACCGGGCATAGAGGGCGCGCCCCGTTGGTGACGCACGCCGGGGACAATGGGCGTAATTATCAGGGTCACTCTACATTTGGGGCACTCTACACCTTGAGCCACAGGCTGCTGCCAAAGGGTGTGTTTTCGGGGACAGCCCGGGAGTCCACATCGCAGACGACAAAAGCGGCTTCGAATGCACCCCTGAGCGTCAATGAGCCTGCTGGGCACTGCACCCCACTGGCCACCCATAACCTACTCCGTCGCCTCACCTCACTCACCCCTCCTCGCCTCACGGGCCCGCCCTGGACTTGGCCCCGCGGTCCCGCTCTAGGCGCCCTTCCTAGCACGTGGGTGGTGCTGCAGCCACTCTAGTCCCTGGCCCGCGGCCGAGCCGCCTCCCCTTGTACGCCAAGGGAGCCTCCGACGTCCCGGGGACGGCTTTCGCAACCCACACCCGCCAGGCTGCTTCCCGGGAAAAGGCTAGAGGGAGGAGGAGGAGGGGGCCCGGCCCACGTCGCGCATGCGTGCTGGCTTAGCCGCTGTGCGCGTGCTCCAGCCTCTGGGCGCTAGGCGCGCGCCGGGCAGTCACTCCCAGGAGAAGCGCTGGAGTTCCTCCGGGCCAGCCACCGTCCCGAGCTAATCTAAACTGCGTCCAAGAGGTGCTCAGACAGATTCCCAGGAAGGGTGGGTGTCCCTCTTTGGCAACTAGCTTCTACCTCAGCCCTAGAAAAGCAATAATAGCCGCAGTTGTAACAGATAAACATTTCGCAGTGTATTTCCCTGTGCCTTAGAGTGATCCTGACCTTATGTCTCACGTAGCCATCCGGTGGACCCTGGTGGCCAAGCAAGGTTACTATCGCTTTTACAACCTCAGTGAAGGCCGGGGCGTGTTGGTGCAGGCCTTTAATCTCAGCACTCAAGAGACAGAAGCAGGCAGATCTCTGTGAGTTCAAGGACAGCCTAGTCTACTAGGCGAAGGCAATGTCGGGAGACCTCATCTCAACAAACAAACATCTTAGTGAGAGTCTGTACCTGTGATCGCTGTACTTGGGAAGCTGAGGCAGGAGGATCACAAGTTTGATTACAGACTGCAAAATAACAGAGCCCTGTCTCCAGAAGTAACTGTTAGAAGCCAAAACAGAGCAAATGACTTGCCCATACAGGCATACAGCTAGCAAGCAGGCAGGTCTCAGGGCCCACAGGAATTGTGACTATGATATTTCTACCCACACCCAGCCTCCAACTCCAGCTGGCTTCTGGAACTTCTCACCTTTCTTGCTGAGGCTCTGCTAAGGGGCTTGTGCCACCAGCCCAGGACCTGACCTCAGCCCTCACCTCAAGTTTGTCCCATAAGCCCAGGGACCTGGGGGACATCTGAAATGTCCAGAGAGTTCCAAGCCCTTGCTGTGTGCCTTGGCCTGCCTCAGTTTTACCTATAGATAGTTGATCTTCCCTAGATGCCCTGGGGGGCTGGGGTATTGATGGAGTCCACAGCAACTGCTCAATAGACAGGCTTAATTTGGGGAGCTTTCTTCTCTGGAAGTGTGTGTGTGTGTGTGTGTGTGTGTGTGTGTGTGTCCTGTGCTAAGGGGGAAGACACCACGTGGCTTCTGGTCACATGGCTTCTGGTGTGGGGACACCCCTGTCCAGCAGTGGTCAATCCTTCTCTATCTGCCATTCTTTGTCCCTCAGAGGGAGTGAGGGGGAGACTGTAGAACAGAAAGAGCCCGGCTTGCTCTGAGAACAGCTGGAGAAGAGCTTCTTCTAGAAACTCAGCCAGCCTGCACAGGCCTTTGGACTTCTGTCCCTGAAGCCACTTTCCAGCGGCAGGCGGCAATCCGCCGAGCAGCCGCCCAGCGCTGGCTGCGGAGTCGGTGAGGCAGGAGTGGACTCCGTGGGAAGATCCAGCTCCAAGTCAGTCAGGAGGTTAGCCGCGGGCCACAGGTCCTGCGGAGGCCACGGCTCACATGGCCCCTCCTCCGAACGGCTTGCTCACTTCACAGCCCCAAATCCGCCCGCCCGCGTGCGTGGCCAAGATTGGGCAGGTCCGACGCCGGCCAAGCCGCGCAGTTGAAGCGTACCCAAAGAACTAGCCGAGGCCTGGCCTCAGCCTCAAGCTGGAGGACGCGCTGGGGCTTGCTGGCCTGGCCGGCCACCCAGGATCCAAGCGCCCAACCCGGCCCGCCGGTCTTCCCCCCGACCGCGCCAACCTCGGGCTTCCCTCCCGGGAGGCTGGGTCGACGGACAGCAGACACGTCCAGGCCGAAGTAGCCCCAGACGCTGGTCTGCAGTGCAGGTCGGGCTACGGGAGAGTCTGGGCACCTTGGGCGGGCTGGGGCGGGAGAGGGCGGGCGGGCGCCCTTCTTCTGGTAAGAGCTCCTGGCAGAGAATGGCAGGCAAGCCCAGCGCCTCAGACACCTAAGCCTGTGAGGAATAGGCCCGGGGTGTTGGAGAAGGCGGGGGTTGCCTTAACAGGTGTCCCCTGGCAAGCGGTGCCTGCAAGTAAACAAAGAAACGGGACAGTTTGTGTTTGTGTGTGTGTGCGGGGGGGGGGGGGGGGTTATAAAAAGGGCGGCCAAGCCCTTACTGAAAAAGCGATCCAAAGAGCTTTTGATTCCCCCTCCCCCCCCCCCCCCCCCCCGTCTTCCCCTCCCCACCCCTGCCTCTACACACTCACCGTCTCCAAAGACACTCAAATTGCAGCCATATGGGCTAAAGTAATAGGAAGCAGTTACCTTATTTACTGCAGAGGCGGCGCAAGCAAACCTGGTCGCAGGGGCTGCTCCAAGTGGGATTAGCACAGCGGGTTCTTGTTCTTGGAAACTTTTGTTTAGTTTGGGGAGGTGCTTAGGAGAACAGCGATTATCTAACTTGAAAGGGGAAAGGCCTTGTGTGGAGGAGGTGTGATTGAGCTGGTGGGCAGGGGAGGTTTCAATTAAAAAAAAAAAAAAGAAAAAAAGGGAGCTGTAGGCAATCCTCCTTTCATTGGTTCCAAGGGTAGCGCTAGGAGCTGGGCGCCCGAATCGGCTCCAGACTCGGTCGGGATGAGGGCAGCTGCTAGTGCCCCCTCCTGGAACACTCGAGCATCTTCTCCTTCCGAGTAAACCGACCCAGCCCCGGGCTTGGGAAACTGCAAACCCATTTCTCAGACATCTCCTCCTCCCGTTGTTTCTCAGCTGCCCAGGGGTAGGGCCGCCGGGAGACCAGAGTTGACACCTCTGCGCGCTGTAGCTACGGCAGCTGGAAGCACTTTGCGTCTGGGCAAAGGCAACATCCCACCTCCTCCGAGGTGGTCTACTGAAGGACCCAACTTTTCTAGAGTCAGGAACCAAATCCCCCAACCTCTGACAGTTCCGTTCCTCTCCCTCGCTCTGCGGAACCCCCGGGCTTTCAGGTTCAGACGGCTCCCAGGCACTAATTGTGTACACTAAGCAAGCTGATGGGGAGGAATTACCATAAACACGGGAAAATGGAGCTAGAAAGCAGACATAATCACTAAGTGCTTCATCAGAGGTAGCAAGAGCCAGGGGATTCTTTTCTGGGACATCAAACTTCTCAGGTTAGTTAGGCAAAGAAGTAAAATTTAGGGAATGAGCAGAGGAAGAGAAAAAAAGGAGGAATGAAGAAAAGGAGGGAGGGGGAAAACGGGAATGGAAGAGATCTGAAGTGTTTTTTTTTTTTTTTTTTTTGGAAAAAAAAAACCACCAACCGAGGGGAACCGCCCCTTGACCCCCCCCCCCCCCCCCCCCCCCCCGGCCTTGAAGACAGCGGAGGGCGTGCACAAGCTAGGGACGGAGCTCTCAAAACCCAAGCTGGAGGGAAACCGTCACTTTCCTGGGAAGACGGGCAAACTTCCCAGGGCTGGGAAAGGGAGCTCCGGAGAACTGATCCCCGAGACCACCGCCACTCGGCCAGTTCCCCGCCTCCGGCTGCACGGGGGTCCCCGAAGCCGGCTCGCAGAGCTCCAGAGCTCGGGGCGGCCCGACGGCCCACGCCCGCGGCGGGCTGCACACTGCAAGCGCGGGCAGGCGGGGAGGCTGCAGCGACCCGGGCGGAGGGCGAGGGTGGGCTTTCTCCGGGCGGGGAAACCAGACACTTACAGGCGGCCGAGGCCGACTTTATTTTTACTGCCCAAACTGTTGGAAAGTATTTAAGCTTAAACAGAAACAGCTGTATCGCTGGCACCGGCCGCTGAAACTATTTGTTACCGGGAATGACTTTTTATGATTGAGGACGCGGCGGGCGGCGGCCTCTCGAAGGCGGCGGGCATGGGTCGCCGGGCCGACCTGGGCACGCTCGACGCGCCGTTCGTTGAGAACCGAGGGGTGGGTCTCGTCACCCGGGCCACGGCTCGTACCGTCCGGGAGCGAGGCCCAAACCGGCCCCCGCGACTGCTGTCGCCGGAAGGGGCCTGGAGAAGCGGCGCCGCGCGCCCAGCGCTCGCTCCCGGCGCGGTGCCCCGCGCTCAGGCGGCGCCTCGGACCCGGGGCCAGCTCCGCGCCCTTTCGGACAGACTCCCCGGCTGGCGTTTTCCGCGCTCCCCGTTCCTTCTCTCTCCCTCCGTGTTCTCCCCTCCCTGGCCAGGGGAGCCTGCTGGAATTCCAGCCGAGCTGGCACCGCGATGGCAATAAGCCCTGCGCTCCGGGCCACGGGCCGCCGCGATCTGCCGCTCGCGTGGTGCAGCAGGCGCGTGGGAGCGGCCGCCGCGGAGCCCGCGCTCCGGCCGGGGCTCCCGACGGGAGGCCGGACAGGCCGGGAGCGCAGGGTCGGCGGCGAGCGCGCGCGCCCCGTGAGGACTGTGCGCCCCCGCCCCGGACGCCCGGTCCCCCCGCGGTGGCGCTCCCTCCGCCGGGCCGCCCCGGGGCCGCCGCTCCCTCCACTTTCACGCCCGCGCCGCGCGCCAGGTGTCGTCCGCGCACGTCGAAAGGAGCGCGAGACGGGAAGTGCCCGGCTCGGCACCCAGGCCTGGGGCGGGCCGGCGGCCGCTCCCCGCGAGCCGGCAGGCTAGGGGCTCCGCCCCGACGGCCGGGGGCGCCCCGACCCCGCCCCGGCCGGAGCACAGGGCGGGAGGCGCAGGCCGGGGCCCCGGCGGGAGCGGGGGCAGGTGGCTGCGACCTCGGGAACAATGGGGGTGGGAGGAGGAGCCAGGCGACCTCTCCCGCGGGCTCCCGCTCGGGGCGGGCTCGGGCGCTGAACGCCGGCCTGCGGCGGCCCGCCGGGGGCCCTGAGCCCGGAGGAGCGCCCACGCCAGCCCGGCCCGCAGGGTCCGGAGGGTGGGCGCGGGCAGCGCTGGGCGACCGGAGACCTGGAGCCGGCGGCACATTGATTTGTAGCGGGATGGGACTGGCGGAGGAGGGAGGGGGCGTTGCCATGGAGACCGAGGGCGCGCGGCCGCAAGGGAGGGGTCAGGCGATTAGCGGGTTCGGCGCCAGCGCTCCGCAGGTCCGGGGGTTCGGGCGCCGCCCGCTGCGCCCCAGCACCTGTGCATTGTGCTGCACCGGCGGAGGGCGATGCGGAGGGCGCCAGCCCTGGCAGGGACGGGAGGGGGCGGGCCCGGCTCTGCAGGAGCGACGCCTCCCTGGCACCCACGCGGGGAGCCTAGTGAGCTGGGCGAAGACACGCCTTGCACCCGGGCAACCGCTGGGCAGCCCGGCAGGGGGGCGGGGGCCGGAGCCCAGGGCCGCGGCCCCCCTGGCCAGAGGCGCAGACTGACAGCGGCTGGGCCCGCCCCGCCCGCGTCACTTCCGCTGACGGCAACCCCTCCCTCCCTCTTGGTCTCTGGAGTGGCCGGAGACTCCGCCCCCTGGCGATTGGAACGCGGGTCACGTAGCAACGCGGGGGAGAAGGGGAGAGGGGCGTGGCTGGGCGCCGGTCCAATCAGCGCCCGCAGAACGGGCCTGGGCCGCCTGGCTTTAGCAACGTCGTTAGCAACACGTGGGGCGGGAGGAAGCGCCGGGCGGGGGTGGAGGAAGGGAGAGCGCGCGGGGAGGGAGGAGAACTGACGTCAGCGGGAGAGTATTATGGGCTGTCGAGGGCTGGCTGCTGCTTTTCTGCTCCTGGAAGCGGCCGAGGGGGGAAGCGGCGAGTCAACATGGAGCTCTCGGCGGTGGGGGAGCGGGTGTTCGCGGCCGAAGCCCTCCTGAAGCGGCGCATTCGCAAAGTAGGTGAAGGGGACGGCGGGCGGCGGCGCGGCGGGCCCTCCCTCGCCAGGGCCCGGGCTCCCTCCCCTTGCTGCAGCCCAGCCTCCCTTCCCCCAGGTCCCATCAGCGGCCGCGGCGGTGGCGGCTCAGCCCCTGCGCTCTCCTTAGACTTGCAGCGGTGCACAGATTGCATGGATGGGGGGCGGGGTGGGGGATGAATGCGGGTGCATGCACTTTGTGCAGCGTTTCTGTAGGGGTGCTGCAGCGGGTTGGTGCCTTTGGCGGTAGTGTTTGGAGCATTCATTGGATGCATGCATTTTCGCGTGTATTTCTTGTGTCCTCGTCATGCATTCCGCCCCACGCGCACACACACATATTTTTCCTTTTGCATCCGCAGGGACGCATGGAGTATCTCGTGAAATGGAAGGGCTGGTCGCAGAAGTAAGTAGCTATATGCAATCGCAACCCCACACTGATACTGAGGAGTGTTCTTTCTTCCTCTTTTGCCCTTTACACTGAAACACAACACAAGGCAGCCGGAAAAGTTACACGCATACGCCCTCGCTCCCTCCTCTCTCTCTCTCTTTGCTCCAGAGACTGATGATGATTCTTCCTGATTCCCTTTAGGTACAGCACTTGGGAGCCGGAAGAGAACATCCTGGACGCTCGCCTGCTTGCGGCCTTTGAGGAAAGGTACAGACCCTCGGCCCGGCGCCTCACTGGAACCCACACAGGCTGACTTAAGTGCAGCCAGGACACACCCCCTTCTGTCTCTTTTCTTCTTTAGGGAGCGGGAGATGGAGCTCTATGGTCCCAAAAAGAGAGGACCCAAGCCTAAAACCTTCCTTCTCAAGGTATGTTGGGGTCCCCAGTGGTGGGGTGTGACATTCAGAGGGGATCTGGAGGGCTGACAAGCCAGTGGTATCCATACTTGATGCTTATTGTGATCTGGAGGTCTTCTGATGGCAGCACCACAGGGCTCTAGAGGTGGGACTTCGAGATACCAGAAGGCCTTTATTTCTCCCTCAGCCATTCCAAGTAGACCAAGAATGGAATACAAGATGTGTGTTGGTTGCATTTGGCTGCTTCCAGAGAAATCCTCTTGTCCCTCCCCTAGGCTACTCCCATAACCCCCCCCCCCATTAGAATTTCCTAGGAAAGTTGAGTGGTCAAGGCTGGAGGACATGGTGGGGGGAGGGCTCTGCTTCCTTCTCACACCTTCCTTCTGCAGGCCCAGGCCAAGGCAAAGGCCAAAACCTATGAATTCAGAAGTGACTCTGCCAGAGGCATCCGGATCCCTTACCCAGGCCGTTCGCCCCAGGATTTGGCATCTACTTCCAGGGCCAGGGAGGGCCTTAGGAACACGGCTCTGTCCCCACCAGGGAGCAGCAGCAGCACATGCAGGGTCGACCCACCTCGGGACAGCAGGGACCGGGACCGAGAGCGAGAACGGGACAGGGGTGCCAGCCGTGTGGAGGACAAGCCCAGCTCACCAGGAGACAGCTCCAAGAAGCGAGGACCCAAGCCCCGGAAAGAGCTCCTCGACCCTTCCCAGAGACCCTTGGGGGAGCCCAGCGATGGCCTAGGAGAATACCTCAAAAGCAGGAAGCTGGATGACACCCCTTCTGGGACAGGAAAGTTCCCGGCTGGCCACAGTGTGATCCAGCTTGCTCGAAGACAGGACTCAGACCTGGTTCAGTACGGTGTGACCAGCCCTAGCTCAGCAGAGTCCTCGGGCAAGTTGGCCGTGGACACCTTTCCAGCCAGGGTGATAAAGCACAGGGCCGCTTTCCTGGAGGCCAAAGGTCAAGGTGCCCTGGATCCTGGTGGCCCCAGGGTCCGACATAGTTCAGGCACCCCAGGCTCAGTGGGAAGCCTGTATCGGGACATGGGGGCCCAAGGGGGACGGCCCTCCCTCATCGCCAGAATTCCAGTGGCCAGAATCCTGGGGGACCCAGAGGAAGAGTCCTGGAGCCCCTCTCTGACCAACCTGGAGAAGGTGGTTGTCACAGACGTGACCTCAAACTTTTTGACCGTTACCATTAAGGAGAGCAACACGGACCAAGGCTTCTTTAAGGAAAAGAGATGAATTGCTGAGGGTGGGGAGGCCAGGACCAGAGCAGGCGAGAGTGAGCTCAAATGTGGCTTAGTGCTTTTTATTCCTGGGAGGCTGTGGCCTTCTGACTGACCCTGTCCTTACCCTAACCCCCCCCCCCCCCGCGGTCCCTTTCATCCCTCCTTCCTCAGTTCTGATTGGAAAATTATCTCTAGAGTTCTATTTTCTATTAGATGTAAATATGTTATTTAAGAAAAATATCTAAATATATATATTTCAACTCTTGAAGTTCTTTTATTTAAACAAGGGAAGAGAGAGAGAGAGATTGTGGTTTGGAAGGGCAGACAGACTGAGCTGGTATAGGAGGGGCCCTGTCCCACAGCCTACTAGGAAAGTTGGGGGCCTGGGCGCTGGGATTCTGGAGGCTGGACTCAGCCGCCCACCTCCTCCCTCTACGCCGGATTCCCAGTGCCAGACTCCTGGCACCAAGGCAGGATTTTTGCTCTCCTTCCTATTGGCCACCTAGGCCAACAAAAGGTTGGCTTCCCAATCAGAAAAAGGGGGTGGGGTCAGAGCAGTTTTCTTTTTTCTTTCTTTTTTTAGATTAAGAGGTCTATTGGAGGGGGGGTATTAACTCGAATAACTTTTTCACGCGTGTTGCTAAAGGTGAAAAAAGTCGAGAGTGAGTGGGCGCAGTTCTCGCAGAACCACACCAAGAGACGCACTTTATGGAGGTGTGCGTGCCCTACACGCGGATTGTGTGTCTGTGTCGTGGACAAAAACCTTCCCGTCCCCTCCATTCCTTCCCTTACTTTGCAGAGAGACAAGAAATCCAGCGAATTTGTTTACATTCCCGAAATGCCAGGATAAATTGGGAGGATTGCGTGTCAGTGCCCAGAGCGCCAGACAGGGTGGACTTTTCCTTTGCGCGTCTTCTAGCTCCGCCAGAAGACAGGGCAGCCCCACCTCCCAGGAAGACTCGGACCAGCCTGGCTCGCCGGGGGAGGGTGGGCCCTGCTTGCGCAGGGACGAGCGCCGTCAGGCCACCCGCGGGCCCGGCCGCGGGCTGCGCGCAGGTCGGGCTGGGCGCGGGGGTCGCAGCTCCGGTGAACTCGGTCGGGTGGGGCTCGGGGCGGAAGGGACTTGGCGGGGTTTCCATCCAAGAATGCACAGTAGAACTTTAGCTTCTTTCCCCCCTTCCCCCTTTCCTAAAAGCAAAAGCTGTAATTTATAGTCCTTTTCGTTTCTCGGGAGTGCTCGCTACGTGAACTCCACGTCCAGACTCTGCGGAAGGGGGCGGGGGAGCGCGAGGTGGGGCGGGAGCGGCCGGCAGGACGGCGGGTGCCCGGCCACCCTCTGCGCCCTGGTCCCTGTCCACGCCCGACCTTGCCGGCCGCGCAGCTCGGACTCAAAAGCACAAATCTGTCCCCCAGCCTACGGTCGCCCCTTCCAGCAGGCTATCTTTCGGCCTCTCCGCCCTCCCTGCCCTTAAAGGGCCAGCAGAGATCTAACTTCCAGGGCTTTTGGAGGGAGGGGCTCAGGCCTTGCTCGGGGAGAAGCACAGACTTTGGGGGCTCTGGACTGGTCTAGGGGAGCTCGGCAACGGGGAGGGACTGAGAGGGACCCCAGCCTCGGCCCTCCGCACTGCCCTCCTGCTCCCCTGGCGGCTCCAACCTCTCGGTCCCTCTTCCCTCCAGACTTTTTTTTTTTAACCTTTAAAGAGAGGGAGGAAAACAGTGTATTCTGCGTGTTTTTGTTTTTGAAAATCAAACTGCGTCTAAAGCGAAGCCCCTGAAGTGGGGATTTTTATCTGCTCATATTTGTAAAACTGGTATTTTCGACTTTGTATAAAGAAGCGCTGTTGACCGTGTGTCTGTCTAGATGTTGGCCCTATTTTCAGATGGACCTGCTTTGACTGGGTCATCTGTGACCAAGTGGACGTGGAAACTGTGGGACGGGAGTCCCCCTCCGGTCGACTTCCTTTCTCTTCTCTCCTTTCTCGCTCGCACCTCCCTTCCCGCTAGCCTTCCTGGTTCTGGCCTCACCGCCCCTCTCCCGTCTGTCCGTGGCCGTTGTGTGCGTGTGTGTCCTCGCTTTTGAGAGGCTGACCTGGGGGTGGGCTGGGGGTCTGGGGCCATGTGGCTTCAGCGTCTGTAACTGCAGACAGGCCTGTGTGTTGGGTTTGTGAATTCTCAGATATGTACAAATCTCCAGTTGATTTCCGCCTCAGCTCAAGAGTGAAACCTCGGTACCTCTCTTCTTGGGTTGTGAATGTGTCTGTATCCAGTATCACTTTTTATGTGTTTAAATATATACTTTGTAAATAGACACGTGACTTGGTTTCATTATTTCATTTCTTTATTTCCCAGGACAGAGAGGAGGCGCCCGGAAGGGCAGGGTGCGTGTCTCTCTCACCACCCGTTGGGTTCCCCTTACCTTTGCCCCTTACTCTCAGAAAGGGCTGGACTCCAGGCAAAGGCCCTTTCCCAGTTAGGAAAACTTCCTGTGGCAGTGAGGGGAGATGGGTGGAGGGAAGTCAGTCCCGACTGTCCTCGGCTGCCCGGGAGCCTTCTTCCCGACTTCTGATCGTCCGCGGGATCCAGGCAGAGTCTGCCGGCTCCTGAGGTGGTAGGCGTGACCCCTGGGCTTTATTACTCCTTCTGAGGGAGGGTTCTCCCTAGCACCACGCACACCCTCTTCCGTGCCAGACGTCCACAGCCCACAGCGCCTGACACAGCCCAGTGCTGTCACAGGACCTGTGCCCCAGACCCCCACAGGCTCGCCAGCGCTCCCCGAAATGCCGAGCCTCCATCTATTGATTGAGGAATTGAATTCGCGGGTATTGCTAGGCAACTGGCTGCTCGGAGCCGGCGCGGAGCGCGCTGATGTGATTAGTGAACCCTCAGCCCCGCGCTCCCGCCCCTAGTCCCTACGGCGGCGTCCTGGCCCCTGGGTTCTCTCGGGTAGATGCTCCAAGGTTGGACGAGGGGCCGTGGAGGGGGAACGGAGCGCAGGGCGCTGCTGGTGGGTGTCCCCGGTCTCCGGGCTGCGGACTTCTCAGCGGGGGCGGGGTCTTGAGGCTGCAGAGGCGACCCTCGCGCAGGCCTCCCCAGGCGGACCTCACCCTGGAGCCGGCTCCGCCCCACGTTCCCGGCACACGTCGCTGCTGCCTCGCGAAGAAGCCGCAGCTCGCGGGAACTCTCTCGCAGGTCCCGAGGGGAGGGTCACATCTTTTGCCAGCGGCCAGGCCGTTGGCACAGCACTCCCCACCTCCAGCTCAGTGACCTGTGTGGGAGGGCCTGGGTCTACGCCTGAGGTGTGGCAGCGGGTCACTGAGTGATCTTCAGACGCTGAGCCTGTCCATTAGGGTCTCCAAGAGGTCCAAGGTCTTTTTTTTTTTTTTTTTTTTTTTTTTTTTTTTGCCACCTCTAGGTGTCTGGGCTGGGTGGACTCTTTGCTGGGTCCACTGGAGGGCGATGGCCATCAGAGGGCCAAGCTGGCAATGGGGTGTCTGGGCCTGGTGGCTTCAGTAGTCAGCGCTAGAAGACGCCCGCCCCGTCCCCTGACACCCGCTGTCATCACTCGGGCGCGTAGGGAGGAGGCCCGCGCTGACCCTGAGGGAGTTCCGCTTCTTTGCTAACTTTAGCTTGGGCTCAGAGCTCCCTTGGCAAATTTTTTGGGCAGATTCTCCTGGAGAGCAAAGACCAGAGCGGTGCGGGGACCCCTAGCCCCGGGCCGCCTACGCGCAGGCGGATTTCCCTCCATCCCCATTGGCAGGGCTGCTCGAGCCCCGCGGGAGCTGAGCCTGGCCCAACACAAACACTGCTTGAATGGAATACTTGTGGCTCAGAAGAGCCGTTTTTCCTGACTCTGACGCTCGCGGCGCGGGTCTCTGGTGGAGGCCCGGTGCTGCGCCTCGGACAATCCAGCCTCGGCTCTCGGTGGGTGCATCCACGCTTTCCTCTTGTCCCCCAAAAGTCCTCCGGGCCAGAGGAGGCTCGGATACAGCGGGAGCCCAAGGTGGGCGCGAGTGGGAGCCAGAAGGGTCTCGGTGCCATCAAGGATGGAAAATTGGCTGACAGCGGTGAGAAGCCAGTAGGTTGAGGCCTGGGCTTTCGTTCTTCGGCCAGAGACCGAGTCCGCTCGGGGCTGCTTCGAGCAGCGGGGTGTAGACGGTGCAACTGAGTTCCGGACCGCCTGAGGCTGCGGAGGACGCCACCCTCCTCCCCACCGTTCTTCAAAGTCCCGGGACCGAACTTCGTGGGAAGCGCGCGCCCTCTACAGGCGACGCCTGAGCGCCAGTCCAAGAGCTTCCCCTCCCCCCTTTGCTTATGCTAGAAGCAAAGAAAAGCCTCATTTCCTCCCGCCCTGCTTCGCCAGGCATCATCTCTGTGTCTTTGAGAATCAGCCTCGAACCACACCGGGTAGAGAGAGGAAGGTGGTAGCCAGTGGCCACCGATCATACTGGGTACCCTCCATTTGGTTCCAGTGGTGCCTTTTCTAGAATGGGGGAGGATTGATGGGCTGATCAAACCAGCAGCACAGAAATTAATGAACATCAATGTAGGCCAGCCTCCCCCCCCAACTCCCCCACTCCGCCCCTGCCCAACTCTGGTTTGAAGATCTTGCCTGTGTAGACATAGGTTTTCAGAGAGCCTCCCTGGCCAACAGAGCCGGCACCTGCTCCTGCTGGAGCTAGCTTGTTCCCCTAGGACAAGAGGTCTGGGATCCAACTGGCCCTTTCCACCTTCTCAAAAAAAAAAAAAAGCTAACAGTTGAACAAACGAAAACAGGCACTGAAGACAACAAAAGAGAAATCAAATTGCCAGCAGGCTGCTTTGCAGGAATCAAGAAATGAGGGGGGCTGGAGAGCCAGCTCAGTAGTTAAGAGCACTGGTGGTTCTTCCAGAGGTCCTGAGTTCAATTCCCAGCAACCGCATGGTGGCTCTCAACCATCTGTAATGGGATCTGATCCCTTCTTCTAGGTGTGTGTGAAAAAAACAGATCACTCACACATGAAAACAAATAAATGTTAGAAGAAGAAGAAGAAGAAGAAGAAGAAGAAGAAGAAGAAGAAGAAGAAGAAGAGGAAGAAGAAACGGGGCTGGAGAGACGGCTCAGCGATTTAAGACCCAGGTTCAGTCCCCAGCAACCACACGCAGATCAAAACCGTCTGTATCTCCAGTTCCAGGGGGTTCAACACCGTCAGGCACAGCCACATGCAGGAAGAACATCAACACACAGGAAATAAAAATAGATAAGTTAAAAAGTCAGGTTTCACACACGAGGGCCCGTCTCCAGCAAGGTTTGTGTTTCTCTCTGGAGTGTTGATCCCTTCCCGGTAACCTGACCTTCAGTCCCAACCAGCCCTTCTGCCAGGGCTGGGCCCATCTTCCCTGGAACTCCATCCTCCTGGGAGGACAAAGGAAATTTCTGAATAAATTAGTGCCAAAGAGAGTAACACAAGTGTCGGACTAGGGAAGGAAGGTCCAAGCGCACCCGTCTTCCGTTTCTCCTCAGCTGTGGTCAGGAGCTGAAGCAGCCCCGGCTCTCGGTGCCCCTCTGTAGCTTCCCAACATGGCATGAGTGGGTACTGTGGAGGTGAAGGTGCTGCTTTGCTTTTATGCCCGTCTATGTGGGAAGCTCCCTGTAGGCCTGTAACATTCTGCTTGCACAGTAACATTAGTGTTGTTTTTTCTTTTGGTCACACATATTCAGATATATATATATTGCAAATGTGTGAATATATAATCTTTGCCAATAAGCCAGGCTTTTTCAAACGTAGCTCCTTGGGTGTCCTGGGAAGGTGGTCTTTTGCATGGTGGACTGCTTTGTGTGGCTGTGGCACTCTTAGTCTCTGTAAGATGCTGGTAGTTCCCTTCACCAAGGGACAACGGTTTCCATACTCCCCTCACCTCCCATTCATCACAGGCGTTTGCTCTTAAAGCCATGTTCCTTCTTTGCAAAGGTTTCTTTTTGTCCACCTCTGAGTGGCTAAGGTATTTCCAATGTTTTCTTTTTTTCCCCTCCAGTGCTACAGCTATGCTCATGTCCAGATGGGTGTGCCTTGTGACAGGGAAGCCAAGACTTTGTTTACATGTATCACCTACAGTGCACACCAGGCCAAAAGTTTAAAACTGTATTTATTGATACTAAGAGTAGCAAACAGACAGCAATCTTCCTGCATCATTTACTGTCTTTCCCCTGCAAAATAAATTAACATCAGCCTAAAGGCCCTCTAATCTAGGCTAGTGTTACTACAAACCCCTGGAATTGTGAGCTGCCTCTGGCTATAGGGCACCATCCTGCCTTGCTCCAAACCCTCCCTGACGTCAGGGCTCCCTGGGGCAGGCATTTCCTCGAAAGCTGCTCTGTTTGGCTTCTCCAGCATGGTGACACACCCACCTTTGGTTAGTCCCCATGAAAGCCAGCAGCTCCAGCTTAAGGGGGCGTATAAAGGCAGGAGAAGCCAAGACAACTGAGGCCGGCTCAGTTCAGCGTTTCCTTCTTGAAACCTTGGGACTAGAGCTTACTAATCAAGGACAGGATTTGGAGCATACTCAAACAAGGACACTTTTTAGTACCAAAAGTTTTTTTTTTTTCCCTAAATCCAATACCTCTGAGGAAAAGGACTGGCTGGCCACTCTTCCAACCAGGTGCTGAAGCAGACAAAAGGGGCCAGTAATCTTAACATCAGGAAGGCCAAGGCAAGCCTGCCAGTTCAAAGCACCAGCCTAGGCTAGACTAAGCCTAGGTTGAAAAGACTAGATAGGATTAAGACACCCACTTGGAGTGGAAATGTGCCACAGAACACCTGGGATCCTTAGGAAGAGAAATGAGTCTTGACACACACACACACACACACACACTGGGTTGGGGGCAGGCATAGGCAGTAGCAAATAAAAAACAAAAGCAGACTACTTTATTTATTGGTAAACATGAGAACTCATGTGGTGTGCCTCTCCAGTGGGGCTCTCATGCTGGCACACTTAGACACATATGCTTTGTAACATAGACCACTGGGGTCACAGCACCAGGAAAAATACACAAGGCAAAGTGGCTGGGAGAAAGGTATTTGTAGATTTCAACTTTGGGACTGACATAACTGGTAATAAAAGGCACCAAATCGGGGTTTAGAGACCCGGCAACAGGGAATGAGGCCAGTCAACCCAGATTCCCCAAAGGCTCCTGGAACACCCCCCTCCCCAAAGACACAGAGGTGCCAGTAAGGCAGTGTCCGGCACAAAGAAGCTGCAAACCTTGGGTGAGGCAGCAAAGGACCCTGGCTAAGGACAGGAAGAGGCTAACAGGCAACCCCCACCCCTTGCCACCCACTTCCTGGCCCTGAATTCTCTCCAGCAGCAGCTCCTGCTGCCAGTAACACTGCCTCTTGGTGCCCAGTCTAGAGGCTGCACATCCCAGACATCTCTCAGGAGCCATGGATACAGGTCTGTCCCCAAAGGCACAGTGTTGAGGTCGGTTTGGTTACACAAAGACCATCTCTTATTTGGTGTGTGGAGTGAGCTACTGGTGGTTTGTGTACTCTGAAGGCGTGGCAGGTCCCAGACACCACAGCCCACCGCCTGGGCTGGTGCTGGAAGGGGGAACGCTTCCCTTCAAGGTAACTAGAGTGAAGGGCCTACACCTACCAGCTGATCAGTCAGTGGCAGAAGTACAAACGAGGGTTTCATACCTCCACTTTTTGGCATCACAGACTCACTGACCAGATTGTCACGGCCCCACGGTGATATCCCAGGACAGAAAACCCTGACATTGGCCAGCAATCTGACAAGGTAGTTTCAAGATGGCTACCCGGGGTGGGGGGCGGGGAAAAGGCATCTAGAAAGGGTTTCCGAACTAAAGTCATCTCCTGAGATGGGGAGGAATTCTAGGGTCCCTTAACAGGAGGGCTGCTATACTGCCCTACTGCATGAATGGCATTGGGATATTGCTTCTTAGCTACAAAGGAAACACAAGCTCCCAAGCATGGGAGAGGATTGTCAGGGAAAGACACCCAAGAAGAGCCTACTTAACAGGCAGGGCTCTGCACCAGGAGCACCTGCAGAAAATGCTTGCACATTTGTCCAGAGATGCCCAGTCTGAACGGGCAGCAGAGAGGCAGGCCTGTATGAAACAGCTGCCTCCCGACTACCAGGGCGACTTACCGGGCCTTAGCAAGAAGACTCCCGCCAGCGGGGGAAGACCACCTGCCCAGGGCTCTGACCTCCGACCCCGGCCTTCTCTGGGTTTCTAGCGTCTACTCCTTCCCTAAGCCCAGCAGCATCAGCCCTCAGAACTGGGGCACACTGTAGTGGGCCACAGCAGGGATGTGGGTCTGGATCCAGAGGGAATAGGGTCATTTCTCACTGGGGCTCAGGCCTGCTTGCAGGAAAGGGGGCAGCACGGGTCTCCGTTCACAAATGCAGTAGCACCCAGACACTACCGAGTGCTGGGACTCCAAACCCTGGACTACAGCTAAGGCAGGAGATTGCGTGGCACCAGGGACAGACACTGGCAAGCCTCACAGGGTTCCGCAGAATTCTGCAGGGTTCCCGAGCCCAACTCAACTAATTATGGTTTTATAATGAGGCCACAGCCTCACCTGCCAAGGACAGAATCCTGCCTCACCAAAAGCCCTGCCCCTGCTGGACTCCAGAGAAGGTCCTGCCTGCCCCCTCCCCCCACCTGACAGTAGTTGGGCTAATAAAAGAAGGGAGGGTCACACTAGGTCAAGGAGGGACACGTACTGAGAATGCTTTGTCCAAGCAGGCAGCCTTGAGCCAGCAGCCACCCAGCTTGCCCGAGGTGACAGGGCATAGAGTAAAGTGAAGGCCCAGAGAGGTAGAATCACCAGGAAGCCAGTTCCTAGCCCTATGTCTTAGGACAGGTCACAGCTGGCCCCTGGGTCAGGCTTTGTCAAAGCAAACCCAGAGACCAGAAGGCAAGTCTGACTTGGGCCATGGTCTCAGTAATGCCTCAAGTTGAAGAACCCCACGCTGGTGGGAGACTCTTTCACTGTGACAGTGATGAGGTTGGCTGTGACATCTGTGACAAAGACATGCTCGATGAGGCTGCGGGTAGGTTTCCAGTCCTGGCTGGTCTGGATAGATACCGACAGGTTCTTCCCAGCACTGGGGAGTGAGGACGAGTCAGGGTCCGAGTCAGAACTACTATTCTCCTCACCCGTGCTCATCTCGGACAGCGCGGGTGCCTTGCGGCCCTCTCCTGGGACTGTGTGGCCCTCTTGCCCACTGGAGGTGGCCACAGACTTAACACTGTCCCTCTTGACAGGAGGGGCCGGGAGAGCTGTCACCTTGGAGGCCAGCTTCTCACCTTTGTTGGTGTCTGTGGGTGTGCCGGTCACGTTTACTCCTGTGGGGCCACCCCCGTGACCTTTCCCTGCTGTGGGGTTGTTAGCAGACACAGCCTTGGTGGCTGCGGCATGGCGAGCTAGCAGGCCCACACCAGGCACACCGTTCTTGACGCTCTGTAAGTCCAGGACCTGAAGGCTCAGTTCCTGAGTGGGTGCCAGCTGGGAACCCAGGCTCCCTGAACCACTTCCTTTCTGCTGCTCTGCAGCCCCACTGCCAGGGGCCTTCGGGACCTTGCTTGGAAGGCTTACCCCTAGCTCCCCTTTCTGCGTCCTCACTTTTAGGTCCAGTCCGAGGCCACACTTGTTGGCGGCCTGGGCCTTGAGTGCCAGTCGGCTGGCACTCTGAGCCTGACTCTGGCTCATGCGGTTCATGTAGTGTACGATAGAACTCTGCCAGCTGATGCTGCCACGGTTGGGGCTCCCGGCCATGCCTTTCATCAGACTGGCCAGGTTCTCTGGGGTTGCCATAGTGCTGGAGCCACCACAGGCCTCTTTGGTGTGGGCTTTCAGGGCGGCCAGGCCTGCCACAGGAGCACTGAGCGGAGGGGGCAACTTGCTGGCAGAGGCCCCCAGGTCCTTCCTGCTGGTCTTTAGCACCTTGGCCAGGCTTACTACGGGTCTCCGGGCCGCCTTCTGTTCTGGGGGCAGGGGCTTGCGTCCCCGCTTCTTTCGAATGGGGTCCTTCAGCTCTGGCTTGGCCACCAGGATCTGGGCTTTCTTCTGAGGCACTGGGTGGGTTTCACGGCCCCGGGGACCCCTCTTAGAGTCCAGGTCACTGTCATCTTCTTCTTCATCTGACGAAGAGGAGGAGGATGTGGAGGAAGAGGAGGAGCTGCTGGATTTGGACTTGGAGGGTGCATCTGGTTCCTAAAAAGACAAATGAGAACCAACCTCTATCTGAGCAGTGCCAGGGCCCTCCAGACAGCAGCTGTCAGGAAGGAGTAAGCTCACCTTTCCAGCAGAGGAATCCCACTCAGTGGTAAGCAGAATGACAGGTAAACCTATTGCTGTTTCTCTCCCTCGTCATCCCTCGTGCTAAGGGCCTCTTCTGCTTCTTCAGTCCTCCTGTCCTGTGGGGCAGGCATCTCCCACGGTAGCTTTATGGAGATGGCACCAATATTCTTCTAGTTCTGACAGGGGCTGATCCTATCAAACCCTAGGGACCTAGATGCCCCCAAGTAGGACCCCGAGCTTCATCAACCCACAAAAATTTCTCTTCAGTCAGCAGGACCTCTGCAGCTCACATCCTCCTTCCAGGAGGAAAGATGGGGGAGCCAGGGTCTAGGGAGTGAAGCCCAAGCAATGAACAAAGGCACACCTGAGCCTAAGGCCAGAACCCCTTCCCTAGCCTGCCTCTGAACTGCCATGGGGGAGGGAAGGGCAGGAGGGAGGCTGCCAAGCTACCCCTGGCGTGTGAAAGGCTACCTGTTGGTCATCATGCATCAAGGAGGGTCAACAGGACACCCCCAAAAGACCCGAGCATAGCAGCTCTGCTTCTACCCCTATTTCCTGGCTTGTCTGGCAGCTCTGCCTGGCCCAGGATCCTGGGCTTGCCCAATTTGTCCTGTTGGTCTACAACCCCCAGACAAACCTGGGCACTTACTGTCTTCCCTGATGGGAGCATCTCCAAGGTGAGAGGGAACTGTGCGTACCTACCAAGTCTGCTACTGCTGTCCTGCTGGGCAGAATGGGCTGAGGCTGACACAGGAAGCCCCTGAGGAGGCCCCAAGAAGGGGCCTCCGTATGCACTCTGTTGCCTGCTGGTGCCATCCACTGGCAGAGGCCTGAAGGGGCAACAGCAAAGATGGCCACCTATCTCAGCAGCTCCCCTGAAGAAAGTCTGCCCAGAGCAGCAAGGGTGAGTGAGGAGCCAAAAGAGGGCAGGACAAAGCCAGTGGCCACTCACCTTGAGTTTGGAGCGCCGGCTGCAGGAGGACATGACTGTGTGTTTCCTCGGCCGACCCCTGGGCCTCTTGCCTCCCTTCCGGTTCTGAACCTCCTTCTCATGTTCCCTGGAGACACAGCACCAATCAGCTTTGAGAAGCTCTGCCTGCAGACACATCTCTGGCTTCAGCCTCCACCCTCGGCTCCCGGGGGATATCATCGGGTTCAGCAGCAAAGCCCCTTCGGATCAGTGAGCCGGACGCCAGCTGAGGGGCCCATCCACACCGCCTCTGCAGGCAGCTCACTTCACTTGCATTTGGTGAAAATGGAGCTGGAGCCAGAGAACAAAGCTGGGAAGCTCCTCATTTTCCACTAAGAAAACTTCCTGTAGTGAAGACTCCACAGAAATCCTAGCCTTCATACCCCAAAACAGCCTGACTCGCTCATCCTACAAAGCACAGAACCCACAAAGACAGTGTGCCCCAGGCACAGCAAAACCCTGTATGTTCTGCTGGCTCAGGGGCTGGGGACTCCAATGTGGCTTATGTGTGCCAGGCTTCTCAGAGCCAACTTGCTTAGGACACCTTTTCCCTGCAGACCTCAACGACCCCCAGAACACTGCTGTTAAAGGAAGGGGTAGAGTTAGCAAGCTCGCAGCAGCCAGGCCTCAGAGCCCGTACTCCTGCAGCCCAGAGCTGAGGACGCATAACCAAGAGCATTGTGCCAGCCTCTATGGAAGCTCAGCTTGCGGCTACACTGCTGGGCCGAGCTGGGCAATACTCCTGATGGCGGAGACTGGGTGAGATGGCTTGCTAGGTGTATGCTGCTGGGCCCGAGTTTCATCCCCAGAACCCATGAAGTGAAAACAGAGAAATAGGGGCTGGAGACATGGCTCAGCGATTAAGAGCACTGGCTGCTCTTTCAGAGAACCTGGGTTCAATTCCCAGCAACCACATGGCAGCTCCAACTCTAACTCCAGTTCCTGGGGATCTGACACCCTCACACAGATGTATATACAGGCAAGAACACTAATGCACATTAAATAAGAATAGTCATTAAACATGTTTCCAAAAATTGAGAACAATTCTTACAGGCTGTTCCCTGACCATCACACAAGGCCAATAGCACATGCATGCCTTCCCTCCCCGGAGCAGACAGAGAGACTCGAAACAGCATAAAAGAGCCAAACACCATCTCCTTGGGAGTCCTGGAAGGTGACCTCATAAAGAAATGGACTGGGCCTCCAGGAAAACCCCCAACTCCCCACCTCAGGTTCGAGGGGCATCTCCCAGCTCTGCTGGGTTCAACACCGATCCTGCGTTGTGACTCCCATACACACAGTGGCTCCTCCCTGACCAGGAGGTAAACAGCCAGCTGCCAGTGCCAGGGCATGTCTCTGGAGGCAGGGAAGAGGCAGAACATGGGGATTTCTTCTGTCCCATGTTGCCAAACCAACTGTTCCCATGATGTCATCTTGGATATTTTGGCTCTTGTTGAAGCTAACCCAAAGCTGTGTCAAAGATGCACTGCCTCCCACTGGATGTCCCCCTGCCCCAGCATGATGCCCTGTCAAGTCATCTTCTCTAGTGCCAGGGACTGCAGGTGTGTATGGCAGCACCTGCCCAAGGATGCCACCTCAAACCCAGAGAAACCTACCAGCCCCAGAGGGTGCCAAGCCACTTCCGCTGAGTTTAGAGCACCAAGCTACAAATTTAACAGAAGGCGAAGAAGATGTGGCTATCTGTTTCCAAAGGAATCTGAGCAAGTGCAAGCAACTCCCTCATCCTGCCAGAACACAACTCCCTCTCCACCCCTTCTGCAAAACAGCCAGTCACAGTGAGAAGCACAGGCTGGGCGACCAGAGAGCAAGCTTGCTAGATTGACCCCAGCTGGGGAGGCTTGTGAGCAAACCATTCATCTGCGTCTACCATCAGAGCCGGCTGTGCTGCCACTCACATGGCACTGGGATGATGGTGAAACACTTGCCCCAACCCCTCAACACATCTCCCGGACATATCTCCCACCCAAGAGCAGAAGCATCGACTATAATCACAGAAGCAAACCCAAGAGAAACCCTGCAGCGTCAGCACTGTCTCACAGCCTGAGCAAAACATCACATGGACCACTCTGCACTGGGGGTTCCGGGCCCCCCTGCACTATGGCACACCCTGGCAAGGCCAGAGTAGCAACAGGGATGCTTCTTATGACAAGTTTGCAACCTCAACTGCTATTTGTTCTGACCAAAAGTTACTCCACAGAAGAGGCCAAGAGAAACTGGAACCTTTTCGTGAAGGTTCACTTCCAAAGTCTGGCTGTCTGGGAAGTCTTAAAGTGCTCAAAGTGCTCTGCCATAGGCTTCCTCACCCCACAGTTCCAGGCCTCTGTGTCACCAGCCAATCCCACCCAACTCCCCCCTCCCCCCCCCCGCCCTCCCCGCCCCCCCGCCCCCCCCCGCGACCCTCCCCGCCCCGGTCCCCCCCCCCCCTCCCCCCCCCCCATCCCACAGGACGCTGTTAACGCTCTCACTTTTTCTGGAAGGCTAGGAGCAGCCTGGGGTCCAAGATGTTCTCTTCCGGCTCCCAGCTGTTGTGTCTGGAAAAGCAAAGAGCATGGTTGCTGAGCTGCATCCAAGTGGGCTGCCGGGACAGCTCCCACCGCCCTGCTGGGGGCGTGAGGCACTGCGCAGGGGCAGTCCTCTGAGGTCCCAGAAGCCCTTTAAGTTAGTTAGTGTCACAGCCTCAAACCCACAGGCAAACTGCCACCTCAAGCCCCAAGCCCCAGCAGGCCACAAGGGGACTCAACAGTCTGCGCCTGGGAGGAAAACAAATCCCAACAAAGAGCAAAGCTGCTGAGGGAATCCCCCAGCCTGGCCCCGAGCCAGGGAGGGAAGGGAAGGCAGGTAGGGGAGGGGGAGCCGGGGGGCGCAGGCGGAACAATGTGGTGTACACCACCGAGAGCGCGGGCAGGGCACCGGGGATGGGGAGGGGGTGGTGGTCGGGAGGGGATAGGGTCCAGGAAGGAGGGTGGCGGGGCAGCTACAGAGGAAGCCCTTTCCGGAGAAGGCCGGGTCCCCTTCCCTCATTAAGAAGAAAGCTAGCGCGGGGCGGGGGGTGGGGGCTTCCTACCAGTAGGAAGCTCAGGTTACAGCGGGGTAACTTGGGCAAAGGGAGGGGGCCGAGTCCCGCGCCTGCCGCGGCCAGCTCCAGGGCGGGGGCGCATGCAACAAATGAGCGCCAGAAGCGCGCGGAGCGGAGGCGGGCCGGGCCCGAGGGACTCGGGGCTGGAGGCCGCCCTGCCCGCTCCCCGTGGGCTCGTAAACAAAGGGCATCGCCGGTCGGCCGGCGTCCTCAGGGTCTCAGGGCACCGAACTTCCCGCCCGGGGCCTGCGAGGCCAGGGTCCCCACGCCGTCCCCACCAAGGCCGGGAGGCGCGCGCGGGTAGGCGGCCGCGCACCGGGAACTCACTTGGAGGACCAGCCGCGCCACTTGACCAGGTACTCCAGCTTGCCCTGCGGGGAGATAAGAGCGGGCGGTGAGCCGCGCGGAGCGCCGGGCGCACGCGGGGGGCGGGCGGGGGCGCACGCACCTTGCGGAGCCGCTTGCTCAGAATGCACTCGGCGGCGAAGACCTGCTCGCCCACGCTGCTCAGCTCCTCCATGCCGCCGCCCGCCGCGGCCCGCGCCCCGCAGACCCGGGCTCACAGCCGCACACAAAGCGCCGCCCCCGCCGTGCCCCGCCCCGCGCACGCGCGCCGCAGTCGCCCGCGCTGCTCTGCCCGTAGCTACCCGGCCAATAGGCTGGCCGGGCGCGCGGGGCGGGGCGCGCATTGTTCGTGGTAGCCGCGGCGGGGACCGGTCCACAGGGTTGGGCGCTCTCTGCGCGGAGTGGGGAGGCCGTGAGCTCCGGGGATCCTGGGGTCCGGTCTCTCGGATCGCTTGTCCCTGCGGAAAGCCATTGTTTGGGCCGAGGGCGGCGAAGCGGGGAGCACGCGGCTCTTCCTGCCCCCACCAGCGAGGGGCGCTGCTCCCCACCGGTCCTCTGTGCTTCACCACTATGCTCCAGGGTCAGAGGAGCAAAAAGACTGGAAAAAATACTGGGTTGAAAATACTGGACATGGAAAAGCGACCCTTGCAGCCTTCCTTAAGGTTGTAGAGGAAAAATTCAGGTCACTGAAAGAATTCTTAGTGAGGAGCTGTGAAAAATGGGACCCAGTTTCCCCGACTTTTAGTGCGCGTGTGGGGACACAACCAACTTGGTTTTTTTTCCCCCCACGATTTTGGTGACAATGACAAGGGTCTGAGGGACGGTGCGCAGACCTGCGTGCGACGTCGACAGCTCGCTAGGCTCTTCCAGCAAAGTCCTTTGAATCATTTTCCAGTGGGAGAAGTTGGGGTGGTCCTGGGTCCTCCCAGGTCGCCATGGGTTAGGCTCTCCACCCTTTTATTTTCCCGCTCAGACATAAATTCCGTTGAGCAGCCTCCTTTGTAAGTTCTGAAGCAAGCCAAGCACATGACGAAAGAGGCGTTCTCTTATTTAATAAAATAAGAGAATCCAATGAAAATGTAATTTCTGGTTTTGCCTTTTTTTTTTGGACATAGCTGCAAATCCAAGGCCTCGCTTTCGTAGGAACTTGCCTTCATGTCATCGTGAACTTACTTACGAAGGAGGAGCCTGTTTGCGGTTGTAAAGCTCTCTGCCCTAAGAAACGAATACCGAGAACCACACTGGGTTTTCGGGGTGTCCCTCAGCTCAGCTGGTTACACCGGCCACCTCCACTCCGCTTTGGAGAGAGCTCGCGACTGCAGAGGGGCAGGGAAAGGGACCTTTTCCTGAGAGCGCGGTGACTGCTCATTTGGGTGCTTCGTTCAGTAGATGAACCAAGCATGAAGGGAGCCGCCGTCTCCAGCCAGCTCTTTTTGTCCTGTTCAGATCAGCTGGGCAGCAAATGGTAGAGCGCGTACAAAGGTGTGTGTATTGTAATCCTATAAATAGCTGGCTCCGTTTCAACGGCTGTTCGCACTTCAGGATTCCACCGGGGTAGCACTTACTGTTAGAATTTCCCCACTGGTTTTTTTGTTTGTTTTATTTTTTGTTTTGTTTTGTTTTGTTTTGGAACAGGGTATACCAACACAATTGCTTTTTTTTAGAACAACAACAAAAAAAAAACTTTTAAAAGAGTTAATACTTTTTTACCTGCCAAGAAGTAGCCAAGAGCCTGCCTTATATGAACACACTGGGGGAAAAAAGTCCCCTTACCTGAAATAGCACACACCTCATCCATGCAATTGGGAATGTCCAGCTGGGGCGAAGAGTAATTAGGATAATTAATTTGGAGAACCAGATACAACAGACGTGACTGGAATGAAGCCCTTCCATCAATGCGGCCAGTTGTATGATTCAAAACGTGTGGCGCTCCGGACTCTGGTCCTTGGCATTGGTGGGATCAGTTAGGGCTGAGTCTTTTCATTCATTTCATAAGCAGCTACTGTGCATTTGGCACCGTGCCAGCACCCTTAGCTGCTGAAGAGATCCCTCAGCCACTGTCTGACAAGATGGGCAGGCTGCACGGGAGGAGCCTGGCTATCCGATGACCGATCCTAAAGGAGCTGAATTTGAAACTGTATTTCCTTCATCATCTTTGAAATTGTAATAGCCGCCTGAGGCTTGGACACAGAGCTGGCCCACAAGAACACAAGGATCTGTGCTAAGGGAATTCTCAGTGAAAGCGAAGCTCTGTCAGTCAGCCCCAGACGGCCTGGCACACTAATGACCTGAGAACATTTAGAGGGTGTGAAGAAATACAATGGAAGTCCAGTCACTGAGGTACCTTGGGGAGTGGGCGTCTTGGTTAGTGCCACCATCTGTACAAACAGTGTGCGCAGGCCTGAAGTTTTCCCTGTTTTCGTTTTTTCTGGCACTCCTGTAGATGAACCAAGGGCCTTGGGCATGCAAGGCCAACGCTTGGCAGCTGAACTGCATCGGGCTCCCTTTTGTCCCAAGGGTTTGGAATCCTGTTAAGAGAGGGTCAAAACGGGCCAGAGAGACAGCTTAGCACTAAAGGGCACTAGTGCCCTTACAGAGCACCTGGATTCAGGCCTCAGTTCCCAAATAGGGCAGTTCGGCTCACAGCTGCCCGTAACTCCAGATCCAGGGGATCTCATGACTTCCAAGGGCTCTCAAAAACATGGTACACATACAGGTAGGCTAACACACACATAAATGAGAAAGAGTCTTTAAAGTAAAAAGAAAAGTAGAAGCTAGAATAAAAAGGAGAAGCTAAAATAAAAGGAAAGTAGGAGGCTCGTTGCTTAGGAGGGCTTACCTCTCTTGAAGAGGGCCTTGGTTCTGTCCCCAGCACCTGTATGTGGTAGCACACAGCTGCCTTCACCTCCGTTCCCGTGGGCTTCGATTTGCTCAGGGCCCCTGAGGACACCTGCACATGTATGGTGCACATGCACTAATGTTAGACTCACACGTGCATCAATAAAAATGAACATCTTCATTCCTGTTGTGATTTGAGACTCAGAACTGCTGGGTCAAGGAGAGACCTGCGGTGTTGCTCCACAGCCGGTAGATGTGCCGGGGTGAGAGCCTCCGTTGACCCCGCCTTGGCAGCTGGAGCTGGCTGTTGCAGGCACAGCCTTTCGCAGCCGCTTCCCATTGTCGCCTTTGATCTGGAAGCACAGCTTTGCCGCCGTGATCCGAGAACCGTATCTTCCCCTTTAGGGAGCTCTGTGAGCAAGGCGCAGGCTGTAGAAGGCATCTCAGTGTTTGGTGTGTAATTGCCGTCTCTCCCTCAAGCCTAGCCCTGCATTTTCAAGCCTGACGCATCACTTGAGCTGCACTGTGTCAAGTGATGTGGTTTCTGTTTATGTAATGGGTAAATACTGTCTACACGCTCCATACACGGCGTTTACATGTCAGTCAGAATAACCACAGCTGGGACGCCTGCCCAGGTTCACACCCTTCAGGCCCTCGGCACAGAATTGACACCCACCACCACACCTCACCCTGCGCTCTCTGGGGACAGCCTGCTGCTCTCACTGTTTAGGATACTGTTTTCGGATACTGTTTCGGATGTCTGTCCAAGCATCCAATTTGGAGATGAGCAAAAGGAATCCAAACCTGCTTCTAGTGAGTCCCTGTGACCCTCGGTGTAGCCTTCATTTGTCTGCCCAATGCCGATGCAACACACTCTATACAAGTTATGTGTGGCTTGCTCTCAGCCTGTCTCCTGCTTCTCTCCCCTAGAGCCTGCCCCAGGCCACCTAGTCCATCTCAGTACTCTTTAAAAATCTGCCCAGGTGGGAAACACCCTAAGTCCTGGGGTCAGGGAGGGGTGGAGGCACACAGCTGCAGAGGTGGGAAATGGAGATTGGTGGCAGGTTTCTATAGGAGGCCGCTGTCACATGGGGTGGGCCTCGGGTTAATCCCGGATTCTGGTTTCGTGCTATTATAGAAATGTTGGGCAAAGCATCTTCATTCTTTCCCGTACCGTGTGCTTATGGATGCTCTCCGTGGTCCCAGCACCTTCAGCCTGCGTAGCCTCACCGGGCTCCATGTGACTTCAGTCTTAAACAACAGAAGACAGAAAATACAAATGCATAGCCAGGGCTGGCGAGATAGTGCAGCATGTCCGAGTACTTGCCACGTCTCACGACTCTGCTCCCTTCCGTGGGACTCACAAGGCGGGAGGAATTCCCTCCTCCAAGTTATCTTCTGACCTCCACAAGTGCACCAGCCAGTAGGTGCCCATATGTGTGTGTATGCGTGTATGCGTGTCTGTGTGTGTGCATACATTCACACCAAAACCCACCCGCAAATCCCTCCCGAGTAAATAAAGAAATACAGGGGCTGGAGAGATGGTTTAGCAGCTAAGGCTTGCTGCTCTTGTAGAAGACCCAAGTTCGGTTCCCAGCACCCACACTGGGCGGCTTACAGCTGCCTGCAACTCCAACTCTTCTCACTCCTTGGATACCTGCACACAAGTGCGTACACGCCCCCTGTCACACACATGATCACAACTAAGATAAACTGTTTACAATGTAACAAAAACTCACAATCGGCTTCCGGGTGAGTGGGGCTGTTGTAGGGGTCAGGGGTTTTGGGCCTTAGACCAGTTCAGACTGCATCCTTTGGCCACCGTGGCTTCTTGGAGGCTCCCATGTTGGTGAGGCTCTGTAGACGTGTGTGGACGTCTGTGCAGTGGAATGGTGTGCCAGCGTGCTCCCAGCGGCAGGCTGAGGAGTGAGGGGGCAAGGAGGTCTGGTCCAGAGGGCATCTGCGAGGTAGCACTCATTTCTATGAGATGGTACCCCGGCACGCTTTCATGCTCCTCAGTCCACCTGTGCTAGCACCCCTTTAAAACATACTTGTATTTATGAGTGTGGCTGTTTTGTCTGCATGTATGTGTGTGTACTATGTGCGTGTGTGCTCTCAGTGGCCAGAAGTGTGTCGTGTCCCCTGGAACTGGAGTGACAGAGGGTTGTGAATTGCCAGGAATTGAACCCAGGTCCTCTGCAAGAACAGCAAGTGCACTAACTACTGAGCAGACCCCCTGCCCTGTTTGTTATGGGGCTTCAAACCTTCTCAACCTTATTATACTGGGGATCAAACTTCAGTATGTTTTGCTGAGGTCTCGTGGTGCTCAGGCTAGCCTGGAGCTTAGTATGT